GCGTATTTGCGTGTATACGTTTATTTTAATTAGATGTTACTTTATAATAAGTATTTAATTTAACTGGAATTCATATTTTTATATTTGAATCGTTACTTTTAGCTGAAGTATAGTGACAAATTTCAAATTACTTGCTCAATTATTTGTCTAATTGCCAAGATCCGTTACCGTAAAATCAATTACGATTATTTCATAGTTAATAGCTGTAAAAATTTCGTTGCATTGTGTTGGCACTTTCACATTGCCTATTTAAAAATCTTGCACTATTTTTTTCTTCTTTTATTTATGATCTTAGGAATTTATGTAAAACCTTATAATACGGGAGTGAAAATTTTGTTAAAATGTATGATCTCGTCTGTAATAATGAAAATAAAAAAAAAGTTGCAATCTACTAATCTTTAAAAAAATATTACTTTTTGTTAATAAATTTTTATCGTAGTTCAAAAAAATTATCATCTACTTCAGAATGTGTGAGTTAACGTTTTCTCGCAAATTAAATTCAATGACAATAGCCGAGTTTATTTATGTAGAAGATAAATCACGACTAAAAGATCGGATGAAACAACAATAGTAAAATAATAAAAATAGTAAAATAATAGTAAAATAGTAAAATAGTAAAATAGAATAATAGTAAAATAGTAAAAATAATAAAATAACAAAGCCCTAAATGAATAAATCTCAGCTGTAGGGATCATAATTTCAGATGTCGATAATGTTGCAATTTCAGGAGATTATACTTTTGAAATTTGATAAAAATCTGCAGAGCTGCGAATCTTGTAAACAAAAATTGAAGTGCCTCATCTTAGATGATGTTGGCATCCTTCCAATCAATAAATTTCAATATTTTTTAACTAGTTTATACAATGAAACTCAATGATATCGTGATTGCATTATTATTTTTATTATAATCCATTTTTAAGGTTTTTCATACATATATACATGGATACAGTTAATGAGAATATTAATACTAACCGATTAAAAAATTATCAGTTAAAATATGAAATATAGTAATAATATTGTAATTTTAAAGTAAAGATGTCGCTAGTACAAAAAGATTGGATAAATGAGCTTCGAGGATGATTATCGGGGCGATTTTCTTTTTAGGTACGTTATCTTCAGAGACAAATATGAAAATTGAGTTCATAAAATTGAATATTATTGTAAATTTATCCTCATATTTATGCTTGATGATTTTTTACATCTATTTCTGCCCTCATCAAAGGAACAGTAATTTTAGTATAAAAAAAATCAAAGAATCATTTTCTTATTAATTTCAATATAGTTGGTGAAATATTTATATATACGGCACAGAAGTACATCTGCTGCAAAGGATTGTGCTGTAGTTATTTCGATTCGGCGGCAACTTGTGTGTAAAATAAATGTTATCCGTACCAAAAAAGAACGGTGCAACCACATTTATTTATGAGGAGAGTTCTGAAAATCTTTTAGAATCGGTATGTTCATAGAATCAATCGGTTCAATTGTTGTTTTAGCAATGAACCTGCTGCCTCGGTAAGACTTAGAAGATACAAAGTTGTAATGTCTTTTCGCCATACAAGAGAAGTCAACGAGAAATAAGAAGTTAAGTCGATTATTAGTTTTTCAGAAGCTATTACAGATAAGTTCAAGTTATTGCAAATGGGAGAAAAATTAATATTACTTTTTAAGCGTAGAAAACTTCATTTTGCTTCTAAAAGATGGTTCTTTTACTTTTTTTTTTTTTTTTTTTTTTTTTTTTTTTGACTTATAAAAAAGCCATACATATCAATATTACACTACAACTCAAAATTTAGTACAAGAATTCCTTGCACGTTAATACATTAAAGACCTCAAATATTAAAAAGTCAGTAGATGTCATTGCATAGCCCTGAGGTGGTAAATGTCTTACTAATGTATTTATAGTTGTTTTCATGCGTATAAATAGTTTTGTGATAATAGAAGCAAAAACAAAAATTTATAGGATAATATTTATATATATATATATATATATATATATTTGCATAAGCTCTTTGTTTTTTTTATTCACAAGCTCCAGCTCCATTATATATGATGAATTCTATATCACAGATAATAATTCTTATCTTATCGAGAGAAAAAAATGAGTGACCGTCTTCGTATAATGCACCCATCTGGTCAGAATGATTAGAAATATATATTGTGAGCAACAGCGATATGTACATACTATTTTTCGTAACTATTGATCAAATCATGAATATTATACATCAGACACGAGACACTATTCGATATGTCATTCACAATTATATTTCTGCAATGAAATGAAAAGTTATCTATATCTAATGCCATTACACAATTTCAATATTTGTATCAATTATCAGCTGTCCATACCCAACTATTGAAACCATTTATTTATACCGAAGAAGATAAAGTAATATGTATTATGGATAAAAGTTTAACCGATAAAGGTAAGAATTCGAAAACCCAAGGGTTGGTTTATAGAGATTTTCATTTTATTCATGGCAAATACCATATAAAACATCTTGAATACTATTTAAGATCTGGTATTTGTTGTTATGAAATAATGTATGGTAATCATAAGATTATTTCTTATAAAACTTATTAAATTATTAATAATTAAGGACAGCCTAATCCTATGTGCATAGAAAATTTTCAGCTTTTGTATATGTAATATTAATTCGATTAACATTATTAGTAATAAGATATCGGTTAGGGTATAAAAGTTGAGAAATTTCTAATTATTTGAGCACAAAAATAATATTTTAAATTAGGATTTATGAGAGATATGAGAATTGTTGAAAGTGAATTATTTTATTCTCTTACAGTGTGTTAGTTATCTGTATTATCTAGGTAGCAATAAATTCTCAACGTTTCAACAATTATTATTGAAATTATTAAATTATAATTACAATTTAATTCTTCTTAGATTATTATTTTTTTATTCGTAGCTAATTTATTTTTATTGAAAATATATTGAACTGTGAGGTAACGTATTTCAACGAATGAAGGATGCCTATATCTTAGTATGACTGATGATTTTGCCTATAAAAGAAAAATATGGCACCTACAAAACCAAATTGTTGATAAATTAAATTACCTAAAATATTTACACAAATAGCGAAGTAAATATAGGCATTTTACAATAATATACTGAAACGTAATTTTTTTTCATTTTTTTTAAATAGTAAAATCAAATAAAATAATTGTAACATAATAGATCAAATCGTGCTTTAATATAAATAAAATTTTAACAAAAAATTATAAAAACAATAATGGATCATAAACATTTGATCAAACTAACGTGAATTAATTAGACATTTATAATTGTTTTTATTCAGGATTTCATGGATTTACATTAATATACTTTGTTTTTATTTTTTTGTTTAAACTATTTTTCAATATTTTCTTTATATACGCATGTAATGTGTTTGCGAGCGCGTCTCATTTATTTGAATTATCAAGATTAGATCCTAATTTAAATTTCAATTTATTTATTAAGTATTAATCTCACTATGTGCTTCAGGATAAAGCACTAAATGACTCCTACTGTCGTAATATTTTAGATCATTAAGAAATTAATTTTAGTCTTATTCTAATAAAAATCGAAGGTTAAATATTAATTAAAATGTATACGTTTCACAATATAATGGTATGTTGAAGAGAACTATCTCCTAGTATTTTTTTTAATTTACAATTTATATAGTTTAAAATTATTAGTAAATTGATATTTCATTTGTATTATTTTCTTCGAGTTATTATTGGTATTATTAATATTTGCATGCGTTTCTTATAAAAATATCTTATAATGATTATGATTTGAAATATTAAACCTTTGCTTAAAGTTTGTAAACATAAAAGCAACATCCAAATTAAAAGTTATTTTATAATTTTTATACAAATTAAAAATTCATCTACGCATCGTAATTCCTTTATTGGTTGAGAAACGACTGCTCATTGCAAGGAAAAATCTCATTATGTTGATAAAACATATCAATAATATTACTCGTATCGTAAAAGAAAGTATAGAATCTTTTATAGATATTCATAATTGCAAAAATCTTTCCACAATTGCGTAAACTTCTGCCTCTTATCAAATAAGATAGATGGCCTAGTCTCGATTTCCTCAAGTGTTCAAGTAGCATAAAGACCGTGACAGTCCCACGTATCACTTCAGTTTCAATCGTTGTGGCACAAAAGTCTTCCAACATATTTTAGCAAGATGCTAATTTTGCTTCGAAAATAAATCGTTCCGAAATCGTAGTTCACGATATATGGAGAGTGAGTGAGAGAGTGAGTGAGAGAGAGAGAGTGAGAGAGAGAGAGAGAGAGAGAGAGAGAGAGAAAGAACGACGCGATTCCGGCCAATCGACAGATAGTACCTTTCACTTGTGAAATCTAAAACGTGAAAGACATTAAGGTGTGGCGGTAGGGGGAAGGGGGTGGAGCGAGAAACAAGCGTCACTTCACTTTCATTCTTCGTCAAAGATTCTCACGCTTTATTTTCATCAAACTTTTTCCAATTTTTATAAGGCTTAAAACGTTCGGGGGGAAATTCCCATCGAACGCCAGACTCTATACCACCGAGGATAATGTAGCCGCATTCTAATCGTTATCAGTGATAGGTCCACGATTTATTGAACATATGTGAAGTGTTTTACATGTCGATGAAATATCAAAATCGTTAAATTCTTCATGATCGACGCACCCGCCTCACATGCCTGATATTTTTCTTCGATACGATTTGTGTTGTGTTTATGTATAAACGTATATATATATATATATATATAAAAGCCGTTAAAATAAAATTTATTATAAAAACAAAGGAAGGCAAACTCTGCTGATCGAAAATGCTGACTTATTATATGACTGCGGTGCAATCCGATTTTTTCGGTAACGACAACTGCCGAAAATTGGGACTGAGGCCAGCGATTAAGAAGTCTGCAATCGAGTACATTTACACGTACCCCTTTGATAAAATCAAACCAATCATTCTATAAATCTAAATTTTTTTTCTCCGTCCATAGGAACAATGTAAATGTCGAAGGAGCGACTCACAAACAGGTAGTGGACCTTATAAAGTCAGGCGGTGACGTATTGACTCTTACTGTGATCTCAGTGACACCTCAAGAAGCTGAAAGACTGGAACCCTGCGAAGACCTAAGGTAATTTACATTCCCATTATTTCATTTAGCTTACATACTTGAATATGAACAAAAGCGCATTCATTTGCCTTTGTAGTGAATTTTATCCATTCGTCAACAATTAAAATAATATGATAAGCAGACAAACGGCACTCATTGATTTCTCGAGCTTCGTTAATCAAATTACAAGGAGAGAGGAGAGAGGAGAGAGAGAGAGAGAGAGAGAGAGAGAGAGCGTAACTAAATGCACGCACACACACACGCACACACGCACACACGCACACACACATATATACATGCGTGCACAAGTGCCGATAAGACCTATTTTCTTTAGATATTATTATTTTTCTTTCCATTTCATCGATTCATACTTTACATACTTAATTATACTATTCATACTTAATTTATGATTTTTAAAAATACATACACTTTACTAAATTTATCAGAGAAATTTCAAAACGAGGCGTATAACTTACCATTAAAAATAGCCTCCCTTTTCGAAAATTTTTATACTAATGAACGTTATAGGATAAATTTTTCGTTGCATATATTACAAATTTCAGCTACTCATCGGTGGATTACAGTGAGAAAAGGTCTTTACCCATCAGTGTTCCGGATTATCATCTACGAGAGAGGAAGCACGAACGCTACGTCGTTTTTAACGTGCACATGGCGGGTCGTCATTTATGTTCTAGACGTTATCGTGAATTCGCCGCACTCCATTTAGCCTTGAAGAAGGAATTTATTGGCTTTAATTTTCCAAAAATACCTGGAAAATGGCCGTTCCAGTGAGTTCTTTTAATTATTTTCTGTTGCACAACGCCAAATTCCAATAGTTCATCTGGCCCATTTGCTTATATGATTAAAATGATTATTATATTGGCGAGTTTTAATAAAATTAAGAGTTAATAATAAACCGTGATTGTACAGAAATAACGCGGAAATCGTTAGAACTATTAAGGAATCGAACTTTTAATGTAATTCATAACTATTGGTATTCTAAAAAGAAGAAAATTATTTTTATAAAATCCGTTCGTCTCCTAATTATAAATATACGTGTATAAGTTCCAATGCAAACGAGATAGAATCAGTTTTCGAATATATTCGACTGGTTGTCAAAAAAATAACGAAATATGCCGCTTATTATGTAACAAGCATTCATTACAAAAGTGTGTAAATTTTATATTTTATGGCATAGAGTTGTAATGTTGTTTTTAACGGTCAATTAAATTTCTTCCACGTGACTGAACGTAATTGCAATGGCTAAAAAACAATTTGAATGTAATCTAAATACAAAAATAAAATTGGAGATTAAAGAAAATGAAGAAATTTTCAACAATCTACATTTTAACGAAAATTAAAGTACATTAAAATGATATACTAATTTTTCATAAAAATCATTAATAATCTACGGAGGTATTTAGTAAACCTGAATTAATAAGCGCTGAATTTCCAGAGCATATATTTGCGCTGCTACTATTTTAAAAAATGTACTACTTTGAATGAATTCCAGACTGAACGAGCAGCAGCTGGATGCAAGACGACGAGGGCTCGAGCAATACTTGGAGAAGGTCTGCGCCGTACGGGTTATCGCTGAAAGCGATGCGATGCAGGAGTTCTTGACCGATAGGCTGGACGAGGATGGCGATCAGGGGCCGGCAGTCGATCTCAAAGTCTTGTTACCCGATCGAGAGGTCGTCACCGTAACCGTACCCAAAGCCGCCTCGGCAAAGGATGTATATGAGGCGGTCTGTTGTCGCGTCGGCCTCGATGCCGAGACTTCAAAGTACTTTTATCTCTTCGAAATCGTCGAATACAATTTCGGTAAGACGGCGTTTAAGCAAATGTCGTAACATTAATACAGTCCCATCCGAACGCGCATTGCAATAATTACATAGATTATTACGCATTAAGCAATCATGGCTATAGCTAACGAGCTGAGTCTATTAAACTGTTTATTAAACAAAAAAGAAACACTTTTATAGTAAACATAAGAATGAGCGCTGTTATCGGGCGAAAGGGAGATTCGAATGTTATACAAATATTTTATTATGCGCTTGTAAAGCATGACAAAGCTGATTTATAAATTATGAACATATATATTGTGCAAATGAATCACTACTTGGCGCCTCCCACAACGAGCTTAGCACGATAAAAGCTGTTTTAATATTATATTAGCGGTCTTTAAACACGAAAGATATGCAAAAGACATACATATTTGTAGAGTATAATATTTTTACTTATTTACAAATAAATGAATCTTTACCGTGTCTCGATAATAAAAGTAAACTTTAAAAATAAATTTGAAAATAATAGCAATAACGCCATTAGAAAAAAAAAAAAAAAAAAAAACTAACGTATGCGAATAGTATTGCCTATTATATCTGTAGGATATTCCAAATTGTTAAACTTTAAGGTAATTATTGATTTTGATAAATTTTTCAAACATTGAGTTTCCTATATTTCATAGCTACGATTCTTCAATTCATAATATTTTAAATTGTATTTAGATCAGTCGTCTTATCGTGTGTGAAAATTCAATTTCTTTTTTTTCTTTTTTTTTCTCACCCACTTGCAGAAAGAAAGTTACAGCCGCAAGAGCACCCACACACATTATATATTCAAAATTATTCGACTGCCAGTGCCACTTGTTTATCGATCCGACGTTGGCTTTTCAATGTTTCGAGGCCTCTTAGCGAGCAAGCGCTAACGTGGATCTTTTGGCAGACCGTCGACGAAGTTAATAGAGGTCATATCACTGCCGGCGAAAGACTATATCAGTTAAAAGCTTTACAAGATGCATCGAGAAAACACGAGGTGCGTATCGATTAATGATTAATGAACAAGCATACGAAGGTCAATATTATCACCATAATCCTTCATTTTTTTAGTACCTACAATTAGCCCAAGAGCTGAGCGGTTATGGTGATATTGTCTTTCCGCATTGCCCTTGCGATTCAAGAAAGGAGGGTCATGTAGTCGCCGCGGTGGGCATGGCGGCTTTTAAATTGCACGCGGCGAAGGAAGACGGTACGCTCGAGTCTCAGGTGGTGGAATTCCAATGGAATACGATTACTCGCTGGGAAATTGATGATGAGGGAATGGCTTTCTGTTTTCAGTATACGCGCACGGATAATCGTCCGCCCCGTTGGCTGAAAGTTTTTACACCCTATGTAAGTACTGATATTTGAAATGTAATTTTTTTAGTCGACGCTAACGACGAAATAAAACTTACGTATATGTTACGTTTAACAATCATTTGCTGATCTAACCATATAACTTAAAAATGCTATTGGCTCATATTAATTTTTATTTTTCAGTACATGTTCCTCTCCGATTGTTTTGACCGGATAATCGATGAGGCAAAATGGGAGGATCCTGAATGACAAAAAGCATAAAATCAATTCGACTTTTGGCATTTTATAAAATTTGCTACGGAGTCTTCAATATACCTAGATAATTTTTAAGTTCCAGATGAATTCACCATCAATTGCAAATAATTGGAATAATTCTATTCAATAGCCATACGATTCTGCGATTATAACATTTTGTATACAGGCTGTAAAGACCGTCCCTCCTGCAAAATAACACTTTAACCGTTTACTTTAACGTTATTTGCTATTTATTAGGATATTGGATGCAAAAATTGCTTTCAAAATGTACAAATTGTAATATCAATTTAGTATGAATGATGAGACATTTTAGAAAAGACATTTAGTAAGTGCTTTTACGTGTCCTCTTTTTCGATAAAACTACTATCTCGACGAATGCAATGAATTAAATTTAACTCATAAACAGTTCATCATAAAAATCATATGTGCCTAGATAATAGAAATCATTTGGCCTACTATTTAATGTCATTTACTGGGTTATCTTCTCATTAGCCTAAATATATCTATATAACTTCTATTAAACATGGAAAAACTTAAGATAAGGCTATTTTATATATATATATCAAGCAAGTATTATTGCGTTTAATATCAGTCACTATTGCACTGCTGTTCAACCATATTAAGATATTGTTTTAATATCATTTCTCTAAATTCGTTACTTCGTTCGAAATAATTGCATATATTCATTAGTCTCATTTTTATCGAAAATCAAGTTTATATGTACATATTTGTATTGCAATGAATTGCAATAAATCGTGCCATAGGAATTAAAGAATAAATAATAAATGGTCGATTTATGTTATCGTATGGTTGAACAGGTTATTAAAATTGTTTGAAGTATTCTGTTAAAATATTTCTTAAAGTATATCGTTTTTTTTTTTTTTTTTTTTTTTTTTTTTTTTTTTACAAAAAACAAAAGGGAAAAAAGGATGAGAAATTGAGTACGATTAAGGGACGTGAAAAATAGTGATCAAATAAGCTTTCATTTATTTTAAGAGTCATAATACTCATTTTCGTTATATAAGTCCTAAATAAATAAAGTTTATATCGTAAAATATTAAAAATCATTTATAAAACATTAATACAGTTAAGGTTTTTATTTTTCCAGCTGTATCGGTTATTTAATAGATGTGTAAATTTTTTAATTTATAGCATTATATTTGCCGTGTCAAACAATGCGTTTTTACATATTGTAAATGTTTTTGAAAAAAGTTGATTTTATTATTAATTGTGCAAATTATTTATACAAATTTTTTTTTTGATACTTTTGTTTTATATAAGTGAGAATTTATTTGTAAAAATTATGAACAAGTTTGTTCTATAACTAGTTAACGCCTAAAATGTCCATTCGAAAATTTTGATTATCGAATTAAAAATTATGATTATTTATATGGAAAATGTATGAAAATTCTTATATGCGCCTGTGAACACATGCCCATATATGATTATCGTCTTTAATGTTTTTAAACTTTATGAAAAGTCCATAGGAAATGTGGAAAAAGTGCGTAAGTGCTTAGTGTATAGTTACATGTTGTAGGTGAAATAGATTCGATTACGATGAAAAATTCTAGATTATTAGATCAATTAAAAGAGTATACAGTGTAAGTGAAACAATATTATTAACAGAGATATACTGTACAGTAAATAATAGTTGCGGACTTATTAATATGAGCTCTATATCCGCAATGCCAAGTCATTTGGCACACACTCGTTCTATACACAAATTCATTGCACGTGTGTTTGATCGATATCTTGATAAATCAATTGTCGATTGAAGAATTTAAATAGTTTCTCTATAAGAGAATTAAAATCGAACTTGTCTTCAACGTTATTTTTTTTTCACCTCAACCATTGTTATTATAATGCGTATCAATTAATACGAGTATTATTGTACGAAACGAACTATTGTTTTATTGTAAGTATCGTAATACTTGTTATATAAATGCAGAAACTTTTGCGATCTTAAAAATAAAAAAAATGATGAAAAAGTCATCGATTCATTTAGCGCTTCCCTTATTTATACAAAATTAGTATTATAATCTTATAAGTGTTTACGAGGATACGAATATCCGGGATAAAATTTTGTAAAATAAGACTAATGAAATTATAGCGCTAAAACAGCTAATTTGTCTTTAAATAACGTTATGCTTACAATGATTTTGCTATAATTTGAACGTTTTTGAAATTTTTTATTCTACTATTCCATAATTGTACTTAAAAAGTAATCAATTGCCAATTTTTTGTAAATTAATTTCAATCGAATCAGTGTAGTTTATTATTGTACGGCAGTATAAAAAGAATTTATTATAAAAATGAATAATAAATACTTATGGGAAACAGTAAACTAACTTTGAAATTTATGAAAATTGTAAGTAATAATTATTATTATTGCGAATTATGTATTAATATATTTAAACTGCGTTCTAATAATTTTTTTTTTCTTTTTTTTTTTTTTTTTTTTTATGAAATACGTACAATACAAAAAATGCGTACAAAAAATGAGCTTCAAATTATATAATCACATTACAGAAACATTATATTTCTCGTTGATTTGAGGTGAAAAATGGCAAATTTCTACATTTCTTTGTTGTAAGTAATTGTAAAAAAAAAATTTAAGATATTTTGTATTTTTTAGTAGAACAAGACATGGAAACGTAGTACAAAGTTAATTCAAATCAGTTCGAATACAAATGATGGATAATCACAAATATCGGTACAAGTAAACGTAATAAAGTAATACAATGACAATGTTAACAAATTAAAATTCTATAAGTATTTCTATATTTCAACAAGTTGAAAAAATTTCGAATCTATATGTATACATGTTAACATCAACTCGTTTAAGCGAACGTATACTTAAAAATATGATAAATACGGTCTTTTATTTCTATAAAAAGTATAAATGCAAAAAACGTTAATGTATTGACATTAAGTAATGCATTAATTAGGAATTGTTTTATGAATTATTCTAATTAGTATGTAATATCTATATTATTACTTTATAAGAATAATTCTTTCATTTCGTTTTATTGATAAAAATGTAAAAAGATTATACAATCTTTTTTTTGCGTATATTACTTTCAAATCTTCTTATAATGCATTTAGTAAACTTAGTAAAAATTTAGGCAGTCGATTAATCATTAATCCTTATTTATCTTCGTTCAATAATTAATTATTGATTTATTCAATAAAAATTGAAGAATAAACGTATTTATTACACCATAAAAATTTTTTTTTATTTCCCTAAATTTGTTCCTTTGTTGAATTAAAGTACTGAAATCATTTATTAATCGATTGTAATTGATGCCGAAGTCAATGCATAATTGAGTTATCGCTATAAGTTTACATTAATACAATTGATTATGTGTTAATGTTAATTATAGATTGTATGCAACCTAAGGTATTCAATTCATTTTTATGTACCTACATATGTGTGATTACATACGTAAGCACACATCTATGCGTACGTGGATCTAGTGGACGTGTACGCCTCTGCGTTTTGTGTGTGTGTGCGCGCGCGCGTAGGTGTGTTTGTCTGTATAAATGTGTATGTAGGCGTTTCGGTTTAAGCGGCAACCCATGAAATACGATGGAAAGCGAAAATATTGAGTGCTTCGATGAGTTTGGCAAAATATCTTATTCGTTCCCTTACCAATAGACCACTTTAGAAGAGAACAAAGAATAGAATCGAACACTATTAAAACTGACGTTTTATTTTTAAAAAATCATTGAATGTCATATATCCCCTCTTTGTCAGGCTTTTAAAATTTTACTCAATCCTGTTCTCCGGAGAAATAAAATTAAACATAATTGATGAAAATTAGAGGCTTTCAGTATTTTTTTTTTTAGAAAATGATTAAAAAAATGAGCATTTTTTAACGCAAAGTCGAAAAAGGAATCGAGAGAAATACAACAAGAAAAGTTACTTTATCAAGAATAGTTTTATCATTATCGACTCGATGCTTATGAGCATGCCTCCCTCAAAACATTAAGTAAGTGATAGTATTATACTCCATATAGTCACGAGTTCCTCGATGATTAATTATTTTTCGCAAAAGCGTAAAGTACCGCCTCTGTGCCATTGCACTTGTCTCGTGTACTATATATACTTTTTTTTTTTTTTTTTTTTTTTTTTTTTTTTTTGAAGCTCAAGTTAAATAGACACGTTGCCTATCGTATCGGACAACTTAATTATAATTAATACAAGATAATTATTCGACGTTTAACGAAATTTTCCCATTTATCGCGAATGTTGGCAGCTTCTCGGGCTTAGTTAAAGAAGATAAAACGGTACTTCAGTACAGTGCAGTGGAGGAGTCACAACGCCCGTTCGTATCTAACGATCGTCTCAGAAATATCGGTGCGCAATTAAGAACGAGATCATACGTCATCTTGGCTCCCCCGCGATCCTCCGACACGTCAAAGAAGACGTAACTCACCGAGGCACATGCACAACGAAGGCGCGAGAACGAAAAACAAAAAAAAAAAGGAGGCCCATCACGTAAGAGCTGCTAATCGTTTCACTTAACCGCGACGTGTTCCACTCCCGTTTGAGGTGCTCGAAGGTAAGGAGGCGCCGGACCGATCGGCCGCTCTTCACCTGCGCGCAGCCATCGGTTTATCTCGGTTTATTTCGACTAATTTCCGAGCACGTGTCGGGGCCACGAAAGGGGGTACGTTGGGCAGATATAAGCGCGACCCCGGTAGAGACGTCGTGGAGACGCCGAAGACATGCCGGCAGGTATCGTGGAGCCCTAGGCAGCCAAAGAAGATGGACGGACGCAGGAGGTCGAGAAAGCCGACGAAAAAGGTATCGACCATCGCTTCCTTTGTCTTACCTGAAATCCTCGTTGTTATATAAAAAGCTTCTGACGAATGATGTTACGCAGCTACTTACCACCGTTATTATCAGCGTGATTATTTAATTAACGGCATCCATCCCGATTCTTGGCTTTTTGATTTATCGTTGTCGGGTGAAAAAGGGCACGGCAGGTGCGCGAGAAAATATGAGTCTAATATAATGTTAAGAAGATATGGCAATATTGGCTCATCTTCGACTACATTATGTTCGAAGGCACTTGGATAGTT